CCACTGAAATACATGACCGAGGGGAGCAGTGGGCAAGACAGAAGTTTGCTGTGGCTAGCGGGTTAACTCCCTAGCTGGTTTCAAACTCATGCCACAGTAGCTGTGACAGCATGATAGTGCTGAGACTTTAATCCCTGAGCCACCAGGGAGACCCATGTTCCATTCTTCCAAATGTATAGTTTTTCTCACCAGGAATATAGCAGTTAGATGATATGTTTGTGAAATGTGAATATAACATGAAATAAAAAGTTCTAATAAGAATATGATTTAGTTATCACTTTTTTTTTCTGTTCAGTTTCTGTGGTAAACTACTAGCTAGTCCCAATCTTTTTTCCTAAGCTCCAGATATCTTAGATTTGTTCCTGTTTCTGTATCCCTTGCAGTCCAAGTTTGACTCTTCTATACATCCGAATTATAGTAGGAATTATACTGATTCCTTTTTCTTCCTTACTCATTATATTCAGCCACTATCATGTTTAGTTTATTTTAACCTGCTAAATCTGCTTTGAAATCATCTCTATATTGCCACTGTTTCATTTCATACCATAATAATTTTGTGCCTTTATTACTGTGATATGAACTTGATTGGACTTTCTATGAATAATCTTTTTCTTATTGTTTATTTCCTTACAGTATTAAATCTAAAAGGCAGATGTTAGATGTCATTCTCTTTCCGTGATTCCACATAACCTTCAGGGTCAAGTTCAAATTTTTTAGCTTGGTGTGCTAGGTCCTTGATGATCTTACCTTTGCTTATCTTTACCCTTGGGCCTGCTCCTCCATATCATACTGTGCCTGAGACTCAGGGAACTCATTGAATAGGTCATGCTGTTTTATAACTCTGAGCTCATTCTGTTTATTCTTTTATCTTAGAGATGGTTATCCTTTACCCTTTCATTGACTTAAGTTGGTCTTTAATAGAGAGCTCATATGCTATCATCTAGGTAATCCTTTCTTGATTCCAACTCCCTCCCCCTTCATATCTGCATTTGACCCCTTTCTTTTTCTTGCTAAGCAGCATTTTCATATATATATAGAGAGAGAGCATCCAGTGTAACTATCTTTTAACAAGGGCTCTTCCTATTTTCTTAAAAATTTGCTCTTGTCATGAAGTTTATATTAATAACTCATCGGTTTTTCAAAGTTTCTCCATTTTATTAAATTACTTGAATTTTTGCTACTTAAGTAGAGAAGGAACTCTCTACTAATTGTGTCAGAACTGTTATAGGGCACCTCAAATCTGTTCCAGGACAGGGGGAGAAACATCCCTGAAGCCCCCAAACCTGCTTACTCTAAGTGGGTTCTGCCATCTGTCTCAACGAGCATGATAAGTTATAACAGTTAAGCACTAATTTGTAACTTTGAACAAAACTTCAGTAATAGAAAAGTTGAAGTGAGTTTCCATCTATTAATACTTACTATTTAAGAGGAATTGTGCTAACTGCTTTACATCTATTATCTCATTTAATCTCAACAGCTTTGTAAGGTAGATATTATTCTTCCTATTTTAGAGATGAGGAGATCAATGCTGAGAACCATAAATTATGGTAAGTACATTGTCCAAGGTTATATAGTTATTAGGTGCTGAAATCAGAATCAGACCCTATGTTTGTCTGACACCGGAGTTCTTGCTCTTAACCTTTGTGCCACACTGCTTTTCACTCTGATAAGAGAACTTAATTTTTTTTATAATCGAAGTAAGAATTGGCCATTATTACACATTTTATGTGACAATTTAATTTATTAACTTTTAAATATTCTGCTTAATCTTTAGTTTTTTTCTTGTGGCATATGTTAATAGTAATACAATGCTTTAATTGAAAGGTATTATATGGCAGGCATGGCGAGATGGTTACTTTAAACTTCTGATAATTTCAGAGGTCCTGTAGGTCCTGGTGCTTTAGAAATGTAGGTTCTACACAGCTTGACGTGTGATCTTTTAAAATCGTTTTTGGGTGAATTTTGAAGTTTTTCTCTTCTAGGAAAGGCTTTAGCTTTTTGCTTTTTCTTCAAAATCTAGCAGCAAAAGAAATAATACAAAAATAGGATGATCATCATGTATTCAGAAGAGAATTCTAACATTTAAAAATTTTCCTTTGCTGATATTTATTGTTGTTGATTTTTCTCTTTAATACTTTGTATAGCACTAATCTTTTATGAACTCCAACTTCCCTATTTGGAGAGACAGAACTTTTATTTTTTAAGCTCAGATTCAGTGAGTTGCCATTCATTTGCTAAATTAATTTGGGAAATATAACTTTATACCTGCATATGTATAGATGCTTCATTTTTAGGAACTTAACATTTAAACACATTCTTAAATGTATTATATCAGACTTTTAAGTGACAGCTATCATTTCTTTGCGCTATCATTTCCTAAATTTTTTTCTTTACTTAAATGCTACAGTTTTGTATTTTATTTTTTTGTGGGCCAGTTTTAGAATTCAATAATGATAGGGACCATAAAAAATATTTATCATCAATTTTTAAAATTATCAATTTAACAGGTTAGATTCTCTCATCTTAAAAATAAATACAATTTTATTTCTTATGAAATATCTACAAGTATTTTATAGTAACCTGGGAAAAATTCTCTCTGCTGATATTCCTAATTTCTCTTGAAGTATTGAGAACCACAGTTGTGTTTTCTTTAGTAATTCATTTTATAATGAATTATGAATTCAGATAAAATAATTCTTAGAACTTCTTACTGGTCCTATTTGTCCCCACAAATCCAGAATTTTTAAATGAGAACATGTTTGGCATTAAATATGTAAAGCAGAGAACAATAAAGAGTGCTTGCTCTTCTTTCTTCTCTCAAATCCTGAGTTCAGCAAATTATATTTACTAATGAATTTTCTTTTAGATCACAGGAATTCCCTAAACATTATAATACTTCTTGTGTTGGTTGTGCTGAAAATAGATATTTTTAAGGGCTTCCTAAAGTGTCTATGGAAAACCTCAGTTGTCTGAATCTTCTGGCAAATTAGTATTGAAGATATACTGTAGTATTATAAAATTAAAAAAGCCAAACGATAATAGGCCCATATTCCTCTACTATGAAGAGCAAATCATTTAATGTTTTGAACTTTGGGTTCTTTACAATTAAGAAGATGTAAAACTCTGTCCTGTCTGGTACATAGTGAAAAGAACATAATACCTAAACAGAATGTTCTGAGTACTATAGCAAGTGTAACAAAGTACAATAAGGATCATACTTTTTACTTAAACAAAACTACTCTGACCCTTTTTAAGGTTATCTATCATCTTTCACAAAAAGGCAGTAAAGTGCTGCTAGAGACATACTGATAACTTGTAAATGGGTAGCTGATAAAGAGGAGATAGGAAAAACTAAAAAATATAGTAAAAAGAATTTGGCTTATGCCAGTCAATTCAGAGTCAAGTAATAACTTTGAGGGCTTTATTGTAGTGTGGCAAGGTATATCAGTTGTTCATAATAGCAACTGTCTAAACAAGAAAAGACTATATTGCTTTTTTCTGTTTAAGACACCAAGTTTATATAGTTTATGTATATGTATTATGAATTGCATCAATTTTTAAAAGTTTTGATTTTTTTTTCTAAAAATGGACAGAACAATTAAGCAGATACTTCTCCAAAAAAATATATGCAGATGGCTGTGGAGCACATAAAAAAAAGTGCTCAAATTCACTTGTTATAAAAGAAATCAAAGCCACAATGAAATAGCACCTCACACCTGAGATTGGCCTTTATTGGAAAAAATGTGTTGGTGAGGGTGCAATGAAAAAGGAACTCTGTTCATTATTGGTAGGAATCTAAATTGCTGTACCCTTAGTGCTAAACAGTATAGATAGTCCTTACAAATCTAAAAATGGATATTTCTCGTGACCCAAAAATACCTCTCCTAGGTATTTATATGAAAACACTAATTGAAAAAGATTATGCATCCCCATGCCTCTAACAGCATTATTTACAATAGCTAAAACATGAAAACAACCTAAATGCCTATTGATGGATGATTGGATAAAGATGTGGTATACATATATGTGTGTGTGTGTGTATATGTGTGTGTGTGTGTGTATACACATATCAATGGGATACAACTATTCAGTTGCCTTTTGTGATAATGTAGATGGCACTTGAGGTGATTATACTAAATGAAATGAATGAAAAATAATTATCAGATGGTTTCTCTCACATGTGGAATATAAATAACTAAATAAAATCATAATAAATATAAGTCTTAGACTCTGAAAAATACAGTTGTTACCAGATGTGCCAGGTTTGAGGGGGACGAGGGACAATGAAAGGGAGGCTAAAAGAGTGGGAAGGTCAGTAGAACCTTGCTAGGTAGGTCATGCTAATATATACATAAAGGTGAAGATGCATTCCTGAAATTCATACAGATTTGTAAATCAAGAAAACTTTATTAAATAAAAGGTTTGGGTAAAAAAAATACACTTTAATTTTCTAAACATTGAATTTTCTTATCATGTTATGTAAAGCATTTATATTACTATCAGTATGTGTGCTATTTTAACTTATGAAATCTGTCATTATCATAAATGCAGTTTTTATTCTTAAACACAATTTAAGTGATGTGCTTCTTGTCAAATTTAGCTTTTTCTTTTGTTAATACAAATGTTTAATTACTTTTCAAGGATCTTTGTTGAATGAGAAGAATAAAGAGTTCTTGAATTGTATAGTTACCTGTAGTTTTAGTATAACTATTGGAAAAGGAAAGCATTTTTTGACAAAAGTTGTTTAAAAATTTAAGCACCCCAATAACATTCAGTAGTAAAGTTAAGCATTGTAATGGCAGGCTAATGTAATTTTATAAAGCATAAAACAAAAGAGTGGGCTCATTAAAAAAATTTGAGTATGGGTCAATTTTGAGAGTGGTGTAGTTTTCATGGCTTGCTTGTGTTGAGATGAAAATGTTTGAAAATTCAACTTCCAAGAATATATTTTTTTACAGCAACTTCATATAGTACATATAGTTTGTTATTTTGTGTGACAGGATACCCAGAGTTATATTGACGAATGTCCTGGGAACGGAGTTAGGAAGAAAATACATAAAGACCTCACCTGTTAATAAGGCCAATTTGGGTGTCAAAGACAACTTGAAATCAGAACAGCTTTCTTCATCATCTGATGGCATCCTAGAATCTTGTCAAAATCTAAATCCTCACAAGAGCTTCTTTTTATCTGAAAGGTATGTTTAGTAATAACTAACTTTACTCAGATATAGTTATTCTCATGAGCCCTTCTCCAGTTTCCCCCCAGATAATGTTATTGCTATATGTGAGGCAAATTTACTCTGATGACTATTATGACTTTTCTTCCTTTGGGGCTGGAATATTGATTGTATCCAATAGTCTATGGCTAATCAGTTTAGAAATCATTGGTTACTCTACCTTGTGTTTTGGGAAAATGAATACATACTCCTAATGAAAATTTAGTTACCTATTTCAGTTTTTCACTTTGGTATGACTGAAAGTCATTCCCATATCATTTGTCTGTTCTGCCTCTGTCTTACCCATACATCTTACCAGTTGTGTCATTCCATCCTTCCATCCATACACCTCTCCTCCATCTTGTTCTTTCCACCATTTTCCATATCCGTATTCTAAAACTGTATCTAGTACTGTGATTGCACTGAGATTTAAGCCCTAGGCCACCAAATAGGCCCTAGAAATTGCTTTGTTTTAAATTCAAGGGGAGGCTTATCTGGAGACTATATTAAGATTAAAAAAGCTAGGGGCTGTCAATAAATACCATTAGATTCTTAACCTTTTATTTACCATTAGTATATAGAGGTATACTTCATTTCTTTTACATTTATGTACTTCCCAATGAATGTACATTTAGGGCAGTTTTCAACTTTTTTCTAGTATTCTTGAGTAAGTGGATTAGATATATGTTTTTGTTCTCAAATATTCTGAGAGCCCCATTCTCCTGTACATTGACCAGAATTACGTGTAATCATCAAACTTTTTTTTTGGTAATCTGTTGGCAAAAATAAAATATTCCCATGAAATTGTTTTCATTTTATTTTTAGCTAACATGGATTTTGTATTTCTTATATGTTTTTTAGTTTTTGCATGTGTTGGGTTATCCTTTTTCTTAATGACCTGTAAGAACTTTTCTTCCAAAATCTTTTATTTTTAAGGAATCTTATTAAAAGTATTAATTGTTTTACATGCTAAGAATATTTTTCAAATTTGCTGTTTTTTATTTTACTTTGTTTATAGAATTTAAAAATTTACTAAAACAATTTTTTGTAATATCTACCAGTGCTTGACTACTAGGTTTTGGTTTATCCTTAGAGCTCAATCCCCAGTATAGACATCGGTTAGTCAAATTAACTAAATGGCGATGTTTTGTGTAAGGTATTAGATCCAGAACATCATTTTGGAGTTCATTTTTCCAGTGGAGTTCTGATTCCTCTTTTTAACTTTTTATAGTCTAGTAGAGTTAGGGTTGCTTCCACTTTTTGGCCGTTGTGCATAATACTGCTGAATATTGGTGTACAAGTATCTATGTCTCTTTATTATTTTGTGTGTATAATTAGAAGAGGAATTGCTGGACTACATGGTAAAAATTATTGGTTTTTTTTTTTTTTTTTTTTTGAGGAACCACTAGCTGTTTTCCATAGCAGCTGCACCATTTTACACTGCTATTAGCAGGACACATTGTCAGCACTTGTTATTTTCTGTTTTTACATAATAGCCATACTAGTTGAGTGAAGCAATATTTCATTGTGGTTTTAATGTGGATTTCCTGAGTAATTTGTGATGTTGAACCTCCTTTCATGTCTTTATTGGCCATTTATGTACCTTTTTTGGAGAAAAGGCTGTTCAAGGTTTCACCTATTGACGGATATGTTGCTTTTTGTTTTTTTATTTTTAGTAGTTCCCTGTATATTCTGAATATCTTAGCAGAAATATAATTTGTAAATATTTTCTCTCATTCTGTGGATTAACTTTTTATACTATTAATATTGCTCTTTGATGTATGAAAAAATTTAATTTTAGTGAAGTCTCATTTGTCTGTTTTGTTGTTGCTCTGCTGCTTGTACTGTTGGTGTTGTATATATGAAATTGTGGCCAAATCCTATTCAATTAGTAATTGTTCATCGTACTGTCTTGAGGATTTTATAGTTTTTTGGTGTGTGTGTGTGTTGAGTTTTATTGTCTCCTTTTTGATTTCTGTTTTTGAGTCTTCTAGTCTTTGTTCTTTAACTAATGTTAGTCTTTTTTAAATCTTTCTAAAAAACCAGCTTAGTTTTGTTGACCTTTTACATCATCTTTTTAGTTTCTGCTTTATTCATTACTGCTCTGACCTTTGTTTATTTCCTTCTTTTAAGTTTGGACTCAAATGTTTCTCATTTTCTAACTCTTTGAGGTAGAAAATTAGGTTTTTGTTGGGGTGGTTCATTCTTGTTTTTTAATATAGACTTTTATTGATATAAATGTCTCTCATGAAAGTTTTTTCTAGCATTATGTAGGTTTTGACATGTTATATTTGTATTTTCATTTGTTTCAAGATATTTCTTTATCTCCCTTTCACATCTTATGGTTGTTCCAGGAATATATTGTTTAATCTCCATATATTTGTGAATTTTCCAGTTTTCCTCCTGTTTCTAATTTCTGGTTTTATACCATTAAGGATGGAAAAGATATGAAGACTTCAGTCTTCATAAATATCCTAAGACTTGTTTTGTGGCTATTACATGTTTTATAGGAGAGAATGTTTTCTATAATGTACACGTGAGGACAATGTATATTCTGCTGTTGTTGAAAAGTATGTTCTATAAATGCCTGTTATGTCTTTTTGGTCCAGTGTGAGGTTTTAATTGTTTAAATATTTCCTTGTTGTTTTTCTTTTTTTGGTTTCAGTGATCTATTCATTGTTGACAGTGGGGTATTTGAAGTACTAGTATTGCAATATTAAGTTTTCATTAATGGTTACATTGTGTTTATCATTCCAAATCTTGTTTTTCACACAACTGCATATTTTATATACTTAATTAGTACTTTATATTTTAAATTACTTCTTAGGTAAAATTTGTTGCCATACCCAAACTTTATTTTGTACTTAAATTTTGATGTTTTGACCATACTTGAAATATAATGTAATTGTTCACACATAGGTATGGAATTTTACTTTTTAGATAGCTTTGATGTATGTAACACTTACTCCTTAGCTCATTTTGCATGTCCACAATCTTGTAGTGCATTTTTACCCCTAAAGATACATGGAGAATTTAAAGGTGGAATCAGAATGAAAATGTGCCCCTTCATTTTTTATTCAGTGTTCTTTGTAGTGTTCAAATTATACACTCTGCTCTTTGAGATGTATTTGTAACCTACTAGATTTCTAGTTTGAATGGCCAGGTTACCCTAAACTCATTTGGGTTAGAAGAGTCCAGTAAAATTATTTTGTTTTGCAGGAGTTCTCGACCAAGTCAAACAGTAGATAATAATAATACACAGCATGATGTACACACTAAAGAAAAGCGAAGAGATGATGGTGGCATTTCTCTTATAATGTCTGATACTCAGCCTGAAGGTTTGTGAACCTTACAAAACTGTTGTCTTTTTAATTTTTGCATATTACATTTGAAATAATTTAAAAAATATAAATAGCTTTGTCTCATTGTTCATTTTAAAATGTGAAGATAAAGCAAGATTATTTACCAGTAGGTAGAAAATTGCTAAATTTGCAATTTTTATATTTCTTGATTTTTACTAAATTCAGAAGTTAAATTTGAATATCTTTTCTTTGGTGGTGAGAAAGGGGTAGGCATATAAATATATATAACTATAAGTTACAGTATTGATTTATTTCTAAGTGTCATTTCCATGGGTATATCTGATAATGAATATTACTGCTAATTCAGTTGTCAACATTAGCTCCCACTGTCTATCCTCCTACTATGAAATATATTCTTTTTCATTAGAATTTCTCTTAACTCTAGGAGGATGCCCAAACAAGCTACTTTTAGCAAATTTAAAGGTAAATACATCCTAGACTTCTGAAAATTCTTTGTAGGCCACCTTGTGTGCAGGGTTAATTAATTCGCTTGTTTCCTTTTGTCTCTTTTATTAAATTTATTCACAAAAATTTTTGCCTATATGATTTACTGCATTAGTCAGATGTGAAGTTAACATCTTAATGGATTTCTTGGATTATTGATAGCTTCAACTAGTTCAGGTTTTTTTTTCAAAATGGCTATATATAATTTACTATATCTACATACCTACATATATAAATACATACACATATATACATATATATATATATATATAAATTGTTCATGAAGAATGTCCTTTAAGGACACTGTATAAATTCTTGTATGTCATTTGGAACACAGTTATATACATACTTGTTAATAGTCCTTTTCATAAAAGAAGAAAAGCTAAGAGGAAATCATACTAATAACTGATATATATGTATATTCCATGTATCAGTTATAAATATATATATACATTTTATACACACATATATTATATATAATATTATATATATATATATATAAAAGAAATCAAGAAATCACCTGCAGTTATAATGAGGAAAATGTTTAGAGAAAGTGTTATGATACTGGAGACACAGCCCTATAATTAATCACTAAGTTTTGACAGTATATAATTAAAGACTTTCTTGTTTTGGGAATGTAGTTTTTCCAAAAAACAACTGTCTTTACCAAATAAAAATATGAGCATTTTTATAAGTGGACTTAGTTCTTATAGCTTAAATGCTCTTAAGCCCTTACAATCCACTGTTTTCCTAGGTAGAAGAAGAATAGTTGAATAAAAAGCTTTCTCTTTGTGCCCTTTCAGTGCTAACTAAAAGTCACAGTGGAATTTTAGACTTGAAGCAGGGGGGAAAATGCACGATAAGAGAACACTATACTCTCTTGGTATTACTGATGGTTTTCCTTGTAAGTAAAGTGCTTTAAAGAAAATTAGCTATTGAAATTTTATTAAATTTCACCATGTTTTCATACTATAGGTAATTGTGTCTAATTCCAGTTCCTCAAAGCTATAAATTAATGGGAATTCTAAATTAAATCACAGCTGTGCCATTCTTTTGTAGCACATTAATATGTCTTGTGGACTTGATTCATGAAAGTTATGCATTAGAATTACTTATTATTCTTCTTTTATAAGAATTTTATACTTTTTAAGTTGCATATGCCAAGAATATTTGCAAGTTCAATTTTGTATATTATCCAGGTAGAATCTGTTTTCAAAATATCTAGCTCTGTGTAATATTTTTTTTCATACTTGGAGATAATTGTGACTTGATAGAGTTCAAGAAATGCCAAGACACAGAACCGATGCAAAAGACAAGTACAAGTCTCTATTGCTAGCCCGAGCTAGGGTCCGATCCCTGGAGCAGCCGTCTCGCCCAGAGGTGATGGACTCCCACCCTCTGAACATAGGGTTTTATATCCAAAGTATGCAATCCATTAGGATGAGTCACTCTGGGATCCTCCTTCATGCAGGTGGTAATTGCAAGTAATGTCCTGCTGGCTCCTGGGCTTCTGATAACATCCAGGGTCTCTGATAACATCCAGTTAGTTTTCAAGCAATGTCCTGCTGGTGCCTGGGCTTCTGACAACATCCAGGGCCTTTGATAACACCCCTTTAGTTTTTAACCACAAGCAACATTCCAATACTTTTATAGACTAGTGTGCAAATATTCAACTGTTTGAAGGGAAATGCGTATGTAATAGTGTTTTTCTCAAGCCCTCTTTCTTTAATCAGTTTTTTTTGAGATAGCATTTATGTTTAGAAATTATAATTCAATAGTGTTTTATGTATACAAATCATATTTTACTACCTTTACAGTTTACGAAATTGGAAAATAAAATTTAATGTGCCTTTCAAAATAAAGAGTAGATGATTTGGGGAGAGCTTATTTCCCTAATGTAGGCAGAAGTAAGAATGCATTCTTTGGAAATTGGAAGACTTGGCTAACGGAGTTTTAGCCCTCAGTCTCTTCCTGACCTTTAAACATCAACAAAGGCATATGAGGAATGTTAATCAATCATTAGGTGTTTGTGAAGCTAGATAAGAGGAGAATTTGAAGATCATGAGTGTATTGTTGAAAAACTTTAAATGAATTGAGGGGTCAGGCCAGTTAGTGTTCCATGGATTATGATTTGTAAATTCAAGGAAGCTGCTTTGGGAATTGCTATGTATATACTTTGTGTTTGTACTAATGATATAAATTTATAAAGTAAAATAATTCAGTGAATTAGGTAGAACCTGGGAAGGTATTTTTCTTCAGTACATAATATTTGATAATGTCTGTATTTGATATCTGAAATACTAATTTTTTCTATAATAACCCACATGGGTTTTAAAATAATGTTGACTTAAAGACTTTCTTCACTGTAGGGCAGTAAATTTATTAGAGATTTTAAATGATAGGATCATGATGTTTAAAAAGAAGAAACAAACTCAAGAAAATTGATAACTATGCATGATTTTATATCACATTCAAATGCTTTCTAGGAAAGACATTTTTGTCTCTTTCAAAGAGCAGTGACTAATGCTATAGTCTTTCAAAAATTCTGTTCTTCCCTTTCCACTTAAAAAAAAATGTATATATAAAACTAAATAAAAAAGTCAACAGATTTTTAAACTCACGATGAATTACCCAAGAATTTTAAGAAGTGTTTTCTAAATTTTATTCTGACTTTTTGATATGATAGTTAAATACAGTAATAGTAATAGTAAAAGGAAAAATTTGGTTTCATTGTTTTGCTTTGATTACTAAGGAATACTCTTTTTTTAAAAAAAATATTTATTTATTTATGCATACAGGACTGGGGTACAGGCCAGAAGTGCAGGGGGCAGTGACAGGATTCACCAGAGACAGACTGGGTAGCAGAACAGGCCGACTGATGAAGTACACTGCTGAGGGGAGCAGCGGGCGGGTCAGGAGAGGTCTACTGTGCCATGTGGATCACCTCTGGGACAGGGCTCAAACTCATGCTGAAGTGGCTTTACCTTCGTAGTGCTGTGCTTTAACCCACTGCACTAAGAGCTATTTTGTAAAGCACTTTTGATGATGTTTCTTTGAACTCTTCTAAATGGATTTTTTTCTGTTTATTTATTTATTTTTTTTGACTATGTCTTGTGTTTTTTAAGACCTTAAAAGGGAAAGTAGAAGTTGTGATCATCTTGAAGAGGGGAACAGAAACAAAGATGACACATATGCTGATTCAAAAATACCTTCCAGGAAGAGAAAGAAAAGACTCAGAACTAATTTACCTGATTGTCTTAGTTCTACTTCTACTTTGTATAACTCAGCAGAACAGTCAGTAAGTATAGGTATTGTGATGTCTTGTGAAATAATTTGTGCTATGTTGTAAATGCATCAACTGTGCAAAATAATGTTCTTTTAGTTTTCTATTTTTTTTTTAAGATTTATTTATTTATGCATACAAGAACTAGGGTACAGGCCAGTGGTGAGAACATTCACTAGAAACAGTGGGTAACAGAACAGGCAGATGTACTGAAATATACTGCTGAGGAGAGCAGTGGGTGGGTCAGGAGAGGTCTGCCACGCCGTGTGGGTCACCTCACTGGCCCGGAATCAAACTCTAGCTGCAGTGGCTTCTGATAACCTCACAATGCTGCGCTTTAACCCATTAAGCCAGCAGGAAGTTTTCTGTTTTTATCAAGTTTCTTATTTTTATTTGCTGTCTTTTAAATTATGTTTGATAGTTTAAAAATTATTTAAATGAAAACTTCTTGCAGAAATATTTATTGTAAAAATTATAAATATTTTTAACAAGTAAAATAGTTCAGTTTCTGATACCAACACTCCTTATTAGTAGTTTCATGTATCTATCCTTCAGATTTATTTTTGCTTACTGTCCCTTATTTTAATTGACCAAATACTTTTTGTGCTGTCCAGTCAATTACTTTTTCACTTGCTTTGTAAAGTTACTAGCAGGTTTCTTTCACTAGTAATTGATAATACCAACTTCTTTACACTTTCCTTTATCTTGACTTTAGGGAATTGCTCAATGAGAATTTAATACTGTACAGTTTTTTTTTTTTTTTTTTGTTTTGTAAAACATTTTTGATGATGTTCCTTTGAACTCTACTAAATGGCATTTTTCCTATACTTTTTGACTATATGTGTCACATTTTTTTAAAGAGGTTAATAGGGAAAGTAAAGAATTACAATATTTCATACATATGTCACCTAGTTTCAATGAGTGAAAAGTAAAATTATAACAAGACAACTTTTTGATTTACAAGGCATTTTAGGTCCTTGCTTTGCTGTTGAATTGTAAACCTGGTTTAGACTTATAGAAAAATAGACCTGTAAAGTCAGTGATTGATTTTCATAATTTTTTGTCAGTCTTAATTTATTACTTTTGTTACTCATAGTCTCAATACTTTTGCAACGTAACACTGTAAAAAAAAATTTGCTCATTCTTCTGTTCTTGTAGTTTTAGAAATGATGTTTATTTTAGATTCTTACTTCAGTAATTAAATCTTCAAAAATTCACTATACTAGCCAAATTAGAAAATGCTAATATTTGTATGTATTTATTTATGTTTAGAAAGAACAAGAAAATGACTCAACAGTATCTACTGTATTTGAAAAGTCAAGTGAAAACTCTCATCAAGAACAAACACTACTTGAAGTAATTACATCTGAACCTATAAAGAGTGATTTGAATAAACACTTCTCATTTAGTCAGGAGGTGACTTTGAGTGCTGCTCAGGAAAGCAGCTCTAACTGTTCAGTCACTGAAACTTTTGAGGATTCTATTTCTGGTGATGCTCTGGGGCATTCTACCCTGGTTGAGAAGGATGAAAATGAAATCAACACAATAGAAAAGCCTCTTTTAAGTGAACACAGTGAAGGGAACAAATTGTTGATGTCAGCTGAACCAAGTGAGTGGAGGACAATCAAGATTCTTAATTTTCTCTGCTTTACTTAGTTTTTAATTTCTTCTCTTGAACAAATAATGTAATAAGTTGTTTATGACATCACTGTGGAATATATTAACTTTAGAAAAAAAGACTGTGAGTTGGTCATCATAAATTTTGTAGGATTGGTTAAGGTAAACAATGGTGTTCTTGGGAGCAGAGTAATTTTTTTTTTTTTTGTATAAATGTACTGTTACTCATCTCAATAGTTTATATGTGTGTGTGTATTTAGATAATTTTTGTACCATGTATGCTTGTATGTTTACCCTTTCAGATGTATTCCCCTTAAAATTCCCACCACTAACTCACTCCTGGACCATCATCAAAGTCCCTTGTGCTCTTCTCTCCCATTGTGATTAGTTTTCTGTGGAGTTTTTAGGGTTCTCTATGTATATTATCATATCATTTGCAAATAGTGATCCTTTATTTCTTCTTTCCCAATCCGGACTCCTTTCCTGTCTTTCTCTTATCTTACTGTTCTGTCTACCTGTCCGGGACCTGCCCTATCTTGGCTGATGAAAGGCAGACACAGGCAGGATCCTAAGATGGGAACGACACATCTGCAAGCAGATATTCCAAAAATTGGGGGTGAAGGGGAGCAGGCGTGAAGAAGACACAAGAGTCAGAGTTGGGTTTATTCAGCAGAGGTTTATTTTATACATTTCAAGCAAGCAGTGGATGACATTAGCATATGAAATGGGCTGAGATCATGATCACCTTTTTTCTAAGAATAGTCTGGGGTCATATTGACCTTTAGTTGAGATTATAACATTTTAAAATCAATCTATCAAGGTTAAAAACAGGTACATAGATTCACAAAGTTTAAGACTAATATTACTATATTTACCACAATAAAGTCCCTTGAACCTTATCTACTACTTAATGGCTTTCATTCTCATTGAGATATCCTAGGGGGTAAAGTAAAGTGAGGGCAGGAAGAGGAAATTTCTTGTAAATCAAATTACAGTAAAGTTCTTTGAAAACTACTTAGAAAGTTAAGTGAATTTCCTTGAAGTCTAGACAGAAAACTTAATTAGCTCTGAATAGGAGAGTTGGGTGAATTTCCTTATCTAAAGACTAGTTAGTAGAATCCTGAAAAACTAGCCTAAGTGAATTCCTTTGGCATCTAGACAGTAGAAAACCTGATTAGCTCTGAATAGGCGACTTGGGTGAATTTCCATATCTAAAGACTAGATTGTAGAAAGTTTAACTAGTTCTTTAGAAACTAAATGGAAGGCTTTGTGAGATAGTAGAGTGATTAGGTTTGGGTTCTAGTCCATCCTGGCAGTAAAAGAATATGTTCTAGTACTGCATCAATATCGACTTTGCAATAACAGCCAATTGCTTTTATTAATCAGCCAGTTGTAAAATCTCTTTTGACTTCAAGAGGAATTTCTCACCCTGGTACAGTGCTTTCTTGTCTGGGCCAGATAGCGCCTTATGATGCTAAGGCAATCCAGTTGTAAACTGAAGGTTGCTCAGAATATTTTGATATTATGAGTATACAAAAAAGGGAGGTCATAACATAAATTAGTGTGGAAATTCTGATTTTTCAGAGCATTTCCTCTCCATCCATACCATATCTGTTAACAGAGGTTGCATAACTTGTGTCATCTAAGACATCCAGTATTATATTGAAAAAGTGTTGTGAATGGACATCCTTGTTTTGTTCCATATCTCAAGGGAAATGTTTTCAGCTTTTCATCGAGAATGATAAGGGCTGTGATTTTGTCGTATATGGCTTTTTATTACTTAAGGTATGTTCCTTCTGTCCCAAGGATTTTTAGTGCCTTTCATCCGTTCATACATGGATGTTGAACTTTGTGAAATGCTTTCTTGGCATCTATTGATACAATCATATGGTTTTTATTTTTCTTTTTGTTGATGTGTTGGATTACACTAATTGATTTAGTGTTGTTGACCACCCTTGTGCCCATGGAATAAATACCACTTGGTCATGTGTATTTTGTATTCTCTTTTTGATGCATTGTTGGATTCTGTTGGCTAGGATTTTATTGAGGTTTTTTTTTTTTTTAATCAGTATTCACTGATGAGATTGGCCTGTTTTCTTTTTTTGTGTTGTCCTTGTTTGCTTTTGTCATTAGAGAAATGTTGCCTTCATGCGTTGTATTTGGTAGTATTCTTCCCTTCTAATTATTTTGATAGTGTTTGTGTAGGACAGGCACTAGTTTGTTTCTGAATATTTGATAGAATTAGTTTGTGAGCAGTCTGGTCCTGGGCTTTTGTTTTGGGGGTGGGTTTTGATTAGTTTCAGTTTCACTGCTTGTAATTGGTCTGTGTAGGTGCTCTATTTCTTCTTTATCTAGCTTTGGATGATTATATAATTCTAGGAATTTGTCCATCTTGTCTAGATTGTTGAACTTGTTTACATGTAACTGTTCATAGTATTTTGATTATTCTTTTCATTGCTGCTGAGTCTGTGGTAATTTCTTCTCTTCCATTTATGATCCTATTGATTTGTAGTTTTTTCTTTGTGAACCTGTCTAGAGGTTGATCCATTTTTTTTTTTTTTGAGACCCAACTTTTGGTTTCATTGATCTTTTAGATTTTTAAAAAATTTCTATTTCATTTATTTCTGCATTATGTTATTTGGTTTATATTATTACGCTTTATATTACCTGGTTTACATTACTTCCTTTCTTTTTCTGGCTTTTGGGTGTTTTTGGTTGTTCTTTGAGATGAGAGATTAGGTTGTTTCTTTGAGTTCTTTCTTGTTTCTTAATGTGAGCCTGTATACCTATATATTTTCCTCTTACTACTGCTTTTACTGTGTCCCAGACATTCTGGAAAGTTGTGCCCTTGTTGTCATTTGTCTCAGGTAATTTTAATTCCTTCTTTGATCCCCTCATTAATGCAGTGGTCTTTCAGTAGTATGGGTTTATTCAAATTACAAAGTAGGAGGGCTCTTGCTTTCTTTTCATTGTTTATTTCTAGCTTGATACCTTTATGATCAGAAGAGATAGTTATCATTTTGATCTTAATGTATCTGTTGATATTAGTCTTTGTGTCCCAATATGTGATCAATCTTGGAAAATGATTTGTGTACACTTGGAAAAAGATGTTTTGGGGTGCATTGTCCTGTAGATGTCTATTAGGCCCTAATGTCTAGATCCTTATTTAGTGCTCTAGTGTCCTTGTTTATTTTTTGTCTCATTGATCTGTCCATTGATGAAAGTTGTGTAATTTCAGTAGTTTTAAAGGGTTTTTAAAGACCATATTATTGTCATTTTGAGTAATGAATCTGAATTGCAGAGAATTTTAAGTACCAGTAATTACTATCATTAATTTGGTTTAATTAATTTTGAGTATTTGATGTGATCATATGTTAAAAAAAGCTAAAGATACATATGAATAGTCTCTTACATCTTCCTCTAGTTGAAGCAATTAATAGGATTTAGTTGCACAGTACATTATTAGAACTAATTCTCAAGTTTCCTAATGGCTTTAGTCATTTTTAAAGATCTTCATGCCCCAAGACATAAAGTTGTAGGTAATGCTACAGTAATGCTGATATGGACGCATTGTGTGTAGCTACTATAGATTATGAATGATAGACCATATAATAAATTGAATAATTAAGACAATTGAATTTAATGGGAGTATTAAAGTTCTGTTACATGAATTAGAAAATTCTTTTTTTGGGTATGAGACTATTGTGACACATTTAAAAAAAATACAATTTTCCTTTAAGTCGTTGTTTCTAGTGATGAAGAAGGACCGGTAGAACACAAACATTCAGAAATTCTTAAATTACAGCCTGAGCAAGACCATGCCATCATTAATGAAGATAAAAATGCCCGTGAATCAACATTGTCAGTAATACCTTCTATTACATGTGAATCTGTACAGGTAATTTATTTCTGCTTTCTCACAGTTTATCAGTGAAATATGCACTATTAGCTAATGAGTTCTTATTTCTGCAAGCCAAATATTGTAATAAAAATGACATTCTTTTGTAATTTTCTTAGTTTGAATTTTGAGACAACTTTCATATTAGTTTGAGAGAAGTACTAATTGTCTTATTGGAAGTGAAAGGATTCTGTCCTTTTTTTCCCCAATCATTTATACATTTTTCAGTCTAGACATTCTATAAGTTGAATATTTTTTGTTACTATATATGTATTTTATTAAGACATTCATAGAATTAAACAGTTTCCAAAGTTTGTCTGTTAGCTCTTGTCTTATAGTACTATGGCCACTTGAAATTGTTTTATTCACATGTTGTTAATGCAGCAAAGAACATGGTATTTGGAGATATAGACTTAAACTCAAATTGTACTTCTGCCATTTGGGCAAGTCAATTAACTTTTTTAATTTGTTTTTTTTTTTTTTTTAAGATTTATTTATTTGTACATACAGAACTGGGGTACAGGCCAGAGACGCGGAGGATGAGAGGATTCACCAGAGACAGAGTGGGGAGCAGAACAGGCAGATCGAAGAAGTACACTGCTGAGGGGAGCAGCGGGCGGGTCAGGAGAGGTCTGCCACGCCATGTGGTCACCTCCTGGGCAGGCGGGAATCGAACTCATGCGGAAGCGGCTTTAGATTCTCAGTGCTGTGCTTTAACCCGCTGCGCCACTAGGGAGGGCCCAATTAACTTTTTAAGCCTGAGTTTTTTCATATGTTAAATAAAAATAACTCTTACCTCACGAGATTATTTTGAATATTTGTTAAATAACATGAAAATATTTAAAATAGTGTCACGAATATACCTTTGTCTCTTCTTACAGAAAACGATAACTGGAAGTATCTTCTGTTTAATGTCAGCCAGTCATTCTTTCTGACATAGTACATTGAAAGTGTAGCTCTAAAGTCAGGTCCAACTCATTTATGGCTGTATTCATTCATATTATCAGCCTGCTTTTTTTTCTTTTTTAAAGGATCTATTTATTTATGCATTCAGACCTTGGGGTACAGGCTGAAGGTGCAGGGGAAGTGAAAGCATTCACCAGAGATAGAATGGGGAATAGAACAGGCAGTTCAATGAAGTACACTGCTGAGGGGAGCAGTGAGCAGGTCAGGAGAGGTCTACCATGCCATGTGGGTCACCTGCTTAGCTGGGAATTGAGCTCATGCTGCAGTGGCTGCAGATAGCTTTGTAGTGCTGAGCTTTAACCTGTTGCATCACCAGAGAGGGCCCTATTTTTAAGAAATGATTATTATTGATCACCACTTCAGATTTACAGTAAATTGGTTTGTTTTGAATAATGTGAGAAGCTGTTCTGTAATATAATCAAAAACTATATTAGTTCTATGAAAGCAGTTTGATGGTCTAATTATTGTTTCATAGGTATTTCTATTGCTTTTGCTACTCCATATAAAAGTCAACTCAGCAGTTGTGTTCTGATTTTTTTTCCTTAAAGATTTAGTTGAATTTACTTATGCATACAAAAACTGGGGTGTAGGCCAGAGGTGAGGGGGTGAGAGGATTCACCAGGGACAGAGTGGGGAGCATAACAGGCAGATCTACTGAAATACACTGCTGAGGGGAGCAGCGGGCAAGACAGGAGAGGTCTGCTGTGCCGTGTGGATCATCTCCCAGGCTGAAGATTGAACTCATGTTGCAGTGGCTGGCAATAGCTTTGTAGTGCTGAGATTTAACCCCTTGTGCTACTAGAGAGGTTCTCTAAATTTTTGTTAAAATATAGCCATTCTCTGGGCCCTCTCTGGTGGCATAGCGGTTTAAAGCACAGTACTAAGAAGCTAAAGACACTTCTGCATGAGTTCAATCCCTGCTCTGGAGGTGATCTGCATGGCAAGGCAGACCTCTCCTGACCTTCCCACTGCTCTCAGCAGTGTACTTCATTGATCTGCCTGTTCTGCTCCCCGCTCTATCTCTGGTGAATCCTCTCACTGCTCCTACACCTCTGCCCTGTACCCCAGTTCTGTATGCATATGTAAATAAATCTTTAAAAAATACATATCCATTCTCTCCAGATTGTACCAGTAGCCTACTTGATGACTTAGTTGTATTTGTAGTTAAAACAGTGTCACTATTGATAATGAGTTTAAATTTCTAGATGAGTATAGTTTCCATATAAGGTGCACTACAGTGTGAAATGATCATATTATATGAAAATAACAATTGTGAAAATAAGTGTGTTTAAAGAGAAGAAAATAGCATCTCTGGTGGTACTGACAGTTTATTATAAAAGCAAAGCACAAATAATTGTGGAGACCTACTATAACCTAGAAGGCAAAAGAGCATAATATCTTCATACTCTCCGTTGTTTCCAGTTTAAAATAAACTTATGAGAAACAGGGATTGTTGATTTTTTAGCTGTTACAAAATGTGAGACCTGATAAATTCCTTTTTTTTGATAAATTCTTTGATCACATTTTTTTTCATTTTATCACTTGAAAAAAATCCAGTTATTTAGCTGATTGTATTAGAGCCTCATGTAGTTCATTTGATTCCCCAATTTTACTTAGAGGATAAGAATAGTGTAGTAAGCAATAAAAGGTGAGCATGGCAAATTCTACTAAGCAGATCAGTGACATTTTCAGCTAGGTTGCAAATAATGAATACCATATATGTTTCAGATGAGAATTAATCATTTGCTTGACGTAGGAAGAGAAAATTCATACATAATTGTATGAGTGGTCATTTGTGATGTTAGTGTTAAAGAAGAATAATTTGCAAAGGCTCAGCAAATGCGGAGTTGTAAAAATCATCTGAAAACAGTATGAAATTCAAGGAGATTGTGGGGAAACTGCTGCTGCTGATTTTGCAGGATTATTTAATATAATTTAAAAGCTGAGTTGTATTGTTTGAGTAGTGGTATAACTTTTGAGCTTTTAGGCAACTTTCTGACTATTCAAGATAGAGAGTATACATATGAAGTGTAGAGCAAAGTGTTTGATTTGATGTAACAGGCAGTTCGTAGGCATTCATCTACCTTTTATTGGTACTAAAAGTACAATAGCTTCAGTACTACAGTGATTTCGGAGGCAGTTTTATAGCTGAGTTAACACTTGATCTGGAAACAGAATATTGAATTTGTCTTAATTTTGCTTCTTACTAACTGTATGACCTATGGTAAATCATGTAACTAATCCGTATGTCTGTTAATTTTTTGAAAAAGGTGAAAGTAAAACACCTCCTCATGAGGTAGTTGTGGAGATTTATTTGAAAGTAATTTTATACCCAGTCTTGTTACTTTTTACTTTCTGTATGGATTCTGGGTTGCTGTGGTTAGTGAAGTATCTCAAGATGAATGTGTGAAATCTTGCTCTAAGACCCATTGACTGGGTAGCTTTTGGGAAAATCATCCCCTGAAACCAAAGTCATTTCCAACTACCTGATAATCTTGGAGTAAGACCCTCACTTCTAGGTTGGCTACTCTCCTTGAGAATCTACCTGCTATCAACTGAATTTACCAGTGTGGTAAAGTTCATGACTTAGTAGATGACTTTGAGAAAAAGTTTAATGGCTTGAAGGTTCCTGTGCCAGAGGATAAATATACTGCTTAGGTGGATGCTGAAGATAAAGAAGATGTGAAAATGTATGCAGAGTTTTTGAACCTCTCAAAGGTCAGGATTCAGGAATACCAGAAAGAGCTGGAGAAGATAAAGGACTTAATTTCATTGATAAGATGACCAATGATGACTTGAACGAAGTCTTTATAGAAACCAAATTAGATAAGAAGTATCCCTAACGACCATACAAGCCATTTGAGAATTTATAAATTTGAGTCCAGAAGAAAGCTCTGGTCCTCCTAATTCTGAATATTAACAATAATTATATAGTGAAAACAATAAATTTAAACCTAATATAAAATCTTAATTTATTCTCAATTTAAAAATGAATTTTAAAAAACGAATAAAACCTACTAGAGAATTTTGAATTTGAAATTATGACTTTGATATAGAGGAAGAAGGTAATTTTCTGGAGCTTAGACATATAGAATTAATTTTGGATTCAGCTATTAAAATTATTTTCTTAAGGTAAAGCACATACTTTTTAAGGAAAAAAATCATGATTATTTTTAAAATTGAAGTAATATTTGGATACTTATTGGATCCAATAAGTACTTATCCAATACTTGGATAGCTATTGTTATCACAATGTACCCAAATCACCTATAAGCTCCACCATTGTCCATTGTGCTTTCTCTGCCTTTTTGAAGAATCTGACTTTGAAAGTCATTGTCAGACTTTATATAATACTTAGACTTAAAATATATTTTATGATTTGTTTTTTGTTAGGTTTCATCTGACTTATGTCCATATAATCCTGTCATGGAAAACATTTCCTGTATTACAGCCACTGATGAGTTAGATCGACAGCTGGATTTTATATTTACTTCTGTTTATATTGGTAAAATAAAAGGAGCTTCTAAAGGCTGTGTTACAGTAAGTATATTTTCTTTAATTTAAAAAAAGTTTTGGATCTTAGATAGGAATTTCAGAATGTTATCTCTTAATTAATTTTAGATGGGGTATTTTGGATGTCTGTCATCATACCTACTTTGCAATGTCTGTTTTTAGAGAGAAGTTCTAAAATTATAGGAGACTCCTGATACAGTATCTCTGATCTTATACTATTTGAAGATCATGTATGAAAAGAAAATTGTATGTGGTATTGGTATTCTTTGGGTTCTAAAAGTTATTTCATAGTAAAGTGACTTTTTTAATTTAAAATGAGAAGAAATTTCACTTTAAATTTGCTTAAATAATTATAAGCTGATGTCTCCAAAGCCCATAATTGTCACGTAAGGATCTTTAGGAACAGTGCCTGTTCTGTTTTTCTACTTTTTTTCAGTAGTCATCCTCTGTAAGCTAGACTGGATTTTGCTCAGTTCTCTATTTTTGTCACATTTCTGCATGTTAAAATCTTGATCTTTTAAATTGTCGGAAATATTGCCTATTATAGGAAGTCTTTCTTGATTTCTCCTTTTTAATCAGAATTTCTTTACTTTCTTTACTATATAGTGATAGCCCTTATTTGGACATTGGTTATAGGAGTTATTATATGTATTTTATAATTATTCACATTCTTGCCTAAACTTTCCCATTATCTCATAAGTATGTAATGATGATGTGTCATGTTTAATTCCCTTTTAATACCTTCCATAAATGGCTCATTTCTAAGAGGGCATTTATGAACTTTAGTTAAATTGGGATGACTATACTTAACTATAACTTAGTACTTTCCTGTAAGTTTAATTAATATTCCTCTGCGTTAGGGAGAGCGTAAGGAATATTAAAATGGTAAGACTTTGGATCTCCCTTTAGTCTAATGGAAGAAATAGATATATAAATAGACACTTGATTATGTTAAAAAGTACAGTGGAAATGGTACAAGAAGGGTGAACATGCAAATGACAATCTATAACTTTGGAGAAATTGAGTTCTAGCAATTATGATTTAAGACATAAATGTGGACCTAACTTATTGACCACACAAGGGGATCACTGTATCCCAGTAGGGCAATAAATATCATATACAAACACAACAAGCTGGAAACTACAAATAATGGTAGCTTATGATATAGTTAAAATTGCTTTGAAAGTATGAGAACAATTTAGTTTAAAATTAATATTCCCTGGTCACTAGTTTTCAGATAATAATGATTTTGACATGGCTGGGTGATTTTATATTTCTTTAAGAAATTTTGCTCATTTTTCATAATTTCTACTCTGCTTTGTTATATTCTTAAAGAATTATTTATTCATACAAAAAACTGACTGTAGGTCAGAGTTGGGGGGTGAGAGGATGCAGAAGAGACAGAGTAGGGAGCAGAATAAGCAGATAATACGGAAGTACAATGCAGCAGCTGGTGAAACAGGAGAGGTCTGTTGTGCCATGTAGGTTAGCTTCCTAGCTGGGGATTGAATTTATGCTGCCCTGGCTGTTGATAGCTTGACATTGCTGAGACTCTAACCTCTGTGCCACCAAGGGGATACTGCTTTGTTATTTTCTTTTTACATCATTTTGTAGATTTTTTTTTTCCCATCTCAATTGTAATCCCCGCGGGTTTCCCATCACCAAGTCACCCGTGTGCCATCACCATAATCCCATGCACTTCCCTCCCAACCCCCCGTTTTTGATCCCATTCCCCTCTCCACCCCCGCAAAATGTCTCTGGTATATGGTTCATTATTTTGTTATTTTCTTGCCTGGTCCATTATACTCCTGCTATGAGTGAAACCATCCGGTATTTTTCTTTCTCTTTCTGGCTTATCTCACT